AACTGTTCTGGAACAGTGTTGTAAATACAACTTAACCACTGATTTCTAGTCGTGTCCATTTTTGGAAGGTCAAACAAAGTAGTTTCGATTCACAACAAAACACAGCATCACACGGTGGCCTAGAGTGAGCGGCGGCGGCCTAGAGTTAGCAGAGGCCGGGGTCTAGAGTGAGGAACGGTCGGAGGGCTAGAGTGAGCAGAGGCGGCGGGCTTGAGAACGGCGTGGCCGACGGATTTGACGAAGGAGCGTCCGGAGGGCTTGTGGCAACCACATGTGATGACCCCGGGCTGGACTTCGCTTCGTCCACGGTGAAAGCCGATCCAGCGATCCACAGCGCAAAGTTGATGTATTTCCTCAGCAACCAGCACGGATCAGCTCCAGGCATGACAAAGCAGATATCTTCCTCTTTTGGAAGGCCAAACAAAGTAGTTTAGCTTTCACAACGAAACACACAGCGCCTTCACGACATGCGACAATAAAAGTTACGCCTTCTTTCTTTGCGTGAACATTTGGGTGGCGTTATGCAAATCTTCGCACATCATGACGTAGACATGTAGGGGCGTGTTAGAACAAGCCGTTTTAGGTAGGTGTGGTTGACTCTTAACTTTTATAAAGAATATCTCTTTGGATTTGAGACTTTAGTCTTTGCAACTTTACAGATCTTCTTTATGCGCCAAGAGCTTGTAACACTCCAAAGAGAAAGGAAAAATTGAAATCGCATCATATGACCCCTTTAATATTGACCAAACATTTAATTCAAATATCCACTTAATCGTTCATTTTTGGCCACCTTTTTGCAAAAGAAATGCGACAGCCTCAATAATTTCTTCAACAAAAACATGTGGACATCACAACCCTTACAAAAAAATAGCCATGGTTTTAACGTAGTAAAAACCTTAGTTTTCTTTTATGTGATTTCTGAATGCTTGAGACTATAAAATCAATCCGACAACTGTAGGCTATTAATAAAATAATAGCCATAGGTAACTGTCTAGAGCTACAATTGTAATTTGTAAATAATACAATATAATTACAATTTATATTTTATTAAAGTTCTATTTTGACCCCTATAGTAGGTTTTTTTTTTTTTTGCTTTTTACATCCATAATATTTGGGGGAGGGGGCACAACAATACAATTTTGCTTAGGGCACCCATTTGGCCCTGATCTTAGTCCAATGGGATAACATTCACATTTTCGGGAGAAAAAAAATCATCTCCGGGTCAAAATGATCCCAACACAACCTGAGGGTTATTTGAAACAGAAATCACTTGTAACATTAAAAATGTCTTTACTCTGACTTCTGATCAGTTTGTTGCATCCTGCTGGATTTTAAAAGTAGTGTATATTTCTGTTGAATTATTCATGTGTAAAAGAAGCTCTTAGGTTAATAAAAGTGCCATTTGTTCTCAAGCTAGTTTGAAATAAACCAGGCAACAGTTTCAACTCCAGGTTAAACTTCAGCATTTTGTGTCCTGAAAGAAGATTTAGTTTAGTTAATAGCTATATCTGCTATCTTTTTTAATCTGCTAAGTTTAGTTAATAGCTAGATCTGCTTGAAATGTAACTCTTCGTTGATTGATTGATTGAAAATTAATTGTTTTTGCTGTTTTGCTTTTTTTTCAGTTCAAAAGACGTTCAGTGTCGTTGAATGAAACACAGAGGTATGAAACTATGAAATGTTTTGATTACATTACTAGCCACATTTGATTTACAATAATATATTTTCTGTTCGCAGAGTTTGTTGCAGTGCAAAATTTGAATGGAATAAATGTCTTGTAATTTTTAATAGATAAGCATCTTTTGGCATGTAAACTGATATTAAAAACAACATTAATGTCCACCAGCATGCAACTCTACGTTTATCATAATTTTCTGTATTAAGATCTGATGATCCCTCAGATGTGAATGAAGATGGAGAAACACGCTGATGCAGGAGCAACTCAGACACTAACACACACACACATACAAACACGCTTGATACATCAATCTACTTGCTTATGTTACAAAGTCATCACTGATTCAGAATAAAGCTTGACATTCAAACTGTTACAATGAGTTTGGTTTCTTTTTACACTATATCCTCAATTAATATGAAACAGCAGTTGTAAAAAGGTAGACTGGTCTAATTTTAATTGAAAAGTAAGGCTGATTACTCCTTGGCTAACTGATATTTCGTTTAGTTTACACTCGGAGTAGATTGGTCCCTCTAAGCGAGATCCCAATTCGTCGGTCCTCCGACGTGACGTCTCCGTTCCCTCCTTCAGGGAACGAGGGTTACATACGTAACCGAGACGTTCTTAAGACACAGTCATAACATAGTGATTGTTTATGCAAGTGGCCCCTGGAGCTACACAACATGGGCTTTACAGGTTAATCCTCATTCACACACAGTCTTTGCACTTTCTGAGTCACTCTCGCTCTTTCTACAGATGCTGACTGATGAAAGGTACATAGTGCATGTGCACAGACCTTATCTTTCTAATAGTAAATGTGAGTAAATGAATAAATGAATTACAAACAAAAATGACAGCAACAACGTCATTTTGTAATAGTCTAACAGGTTGCTCTGAGATCCCTGTGGTATAGAGCATGCAGAAGTTGCTGAAAATTCCAAGAAAAACAATTATTCTGATAGCGATAAACTTGAATACAACTTCGTACATGGCTGTCTCTCCGAGAAAAATAATCTACAAGTATAGAGATAATAAATGGATTAAATGGCGTGGTGAAAAATGTTCATGTGGGTATACAAAACACAATTTATAGTCAGTGTGCTGCGGTAAAAAAAAACTTTTGAACTTAATTGTATGCATTTTAAGTAAACTGAGTAACTTATCATGTAATAATTTCCTTGGCCTTCAAAGGCTGAATTCTCAAAACTTAAAATTGTATCTGATTTATCATCAGTCAAACGCTGTAAGTTGCCTGAAGATATTCTAAATGGTCGTTACACTATTGAAAGTGGAAGAAACTTTGTTTTTGGAATGATCATATCTGCAGTAATAGGTTAGTATATAAGTTCATATTTAATCAGAGTTGTTTGAAAAAGTAAAGATATATTTTTCAAGCTACCAGATGATGAATGACACTAGAACATGTCAAGATGGTGGATGGGATATTCAATTACTTAATTATCAATTACCTGCAAAATGTCACCTACACTCTAAAATAAAGGTTCCAAAAGGTGGTGTTCACAACAATGCCACAGAATAATAATTTTGGGTTCCTCAAAGAGCCTTTCAGTGAACAGTTCTTAAAATAACCTTTTTTTCTTACTGTGAAGAACATTTTAATAATCTAAAGAACCTTTTTCCACTATAAAGAACCTTTTGTGCAATGGACAGACCCCTAGGGTTCCAAAAATGCCAATAAAGAACCTTTATTTTTAAGACTTTAAAGGTTGCATTTAGTCCTATATTTTTATTAGAAAGTATATTTTATATACTGTGAATATCCTAAATTAATTTTAACAGCTTAAGTGGCTGGCAGCCTGGCAGTGGTTATGGTTCCCTTTCAAGGGAACTTCGAAATGCGTCCTCTAGGGTTCGCTATGGGGAATGCCTCGTCGTGACCCGTGTCTGAAGCATACATTCAAAAAACACCAACAACACATTGGCCGGTGGCAGCCCATGACGTCACTACAGGTGCGACACGAACACGTCATCCACTTCTTCGTCTTCACTGACTGCTTTGTTTGAAGCATGCATTTCCGTGGTAAGAGCGATATCAGGCTGACCTGCTGAAAGACCTGAATAAAGGCGAGGGCCCTTCTCCCAATGAGGTAGCTGAGTTGCGCCGCACCACGGATCTCACTCTCCGTGCTACTAATCAGGCCGCCTCTGCTATGGTGGTGATGGAGAGGCATCTGTGGGTGAACCTTGCAGACATCGGGAGGAAAGAAAGGTGCTTTCTTCTTGATGCCCCGGTTTCACTCCCAAAACTTTTTGGTACCTCCGTTGAGACGGTGGTCGGGAAGTTCAGGGAGGCGAAGGCGCGCTCAGCGGCCTTCAAATCCTTCATTCCACGAAGGTCCAGGTCTGAGCCCGAACAACATAAGGGTCCTGGCCCGTCTCGGTCTGAGGATCAGAGACGGGCACAAAAGGCTAGTGTCACGGCTCATGGGGTAGGAGGAATCGCGGGTCAAAGGGAGGTAGGCAAAACCTAAGGGATGTGATCCAGACAAGGCGTCACTTTAGTCCAGATCAGAGTGATACTTGAGTATCTACTCGTTTCCTTCCGGGGTTTTACATCTGCCCTTATCTTCCCCTTCCTAATTCCCCTATAACCACCATCTCTCCACCTGACCGAGGTTAGGTAGGAACTTCCTGCATTACAGTCTCCTATGCTGGACCTATGATGTTTTGGTTGGTCCTATGGCTTCATAGTGATCACCTTACTGATGGTCCAGACTAGAGGCTTCTTCAGGTCGCCTCTTGAACAGGGCTCCGGCGTGGGAGCCATGGTGGGTGAGTACGATCCATTTTTAACCCTTTCGCACGTGAGTTTAAAATATTCTAGCTGAGCCCCCAGCGTGAGTTTTTTTTAGGCGACCGTTATTTTAAAATGTATCGCCTTATTGTTTCCATGGCGACGCGTCATGCTTGTCATGTGACACAACACAGCACAATAGATCTGTGTGACACATGGATCACTTTTATTTCGGTTTTCCTGTTTTATTCAAAATATTCACAAACATGCTACTATATTATGAAATATCTGATATTCCGATTCTGAAATATGTGCAATTAAATCTGTTTGGTAGTTTAAACACTTTTATACCGACCGTGTTAGTTCATCTATACCGGGTGATGGGCGCCGCCATGTTAGTTCGTACTGAATCCCAGCTGTGGGATTTACAACATGCAAATTCATCCTCTCCTCCCGAAACATGTTAAAGTAGGTCTCCGGTAAACTGGGAGAAGAGCAGAGTAAACTTTATAGTTACCTACACAATCTGTATATGATATCAATAAAAACATGTCGTCAGATTATATTTGTAAGGATCATTATTGCCGTTTCCATAAACATCAGCGTGCATTTTACAAGCTGTAAATGTATGGTTTTGCTAGTACTTATGTGTATTTAAATGTCTGAAACCTAAAATAAGTATTATATGGTTGAAAACAATAAATATTTATGATAATATGACAAGCGCTCAGCGCGTCCGATCTGGCTCTGCGCCAGGCAAAGCACGAAAGCGGATTTAAATTCAGCAGTTGATGACGTGATGCACTGAAAGTTCTAATCACACCGGTGTGATCGTACGCTTCAGGGACCAGCCAAGACTGATCACACTTGTGTGATCGTACGCGTCGAAGGGTTAAATATACAGTGGGTACGGAAAGTATTCAGACCCCCTTAAATTTTTCACTCCAACAATTCTGTGTTTTTCTGTCAATATGGGGTGCTGTGTGTACATTAATGAGGAAAAAAAATTAACATAAATGATTTTAGCAAATGGCTGCAATATAACAAAGAGTGAAAAATTTAAGGGGGTCTGAATACTTTCCGTACCCACTGTATATACATATGTATGTATTTAATGCGCTGATGGTTGTGTGTATGATCTATCTGTGAGCTTTCTTTGCAGTGTTTTCCGGGACCGGTGTGTTGCTGTCCTTTTCTAGGGTAGGTCTTCGGTGAGCACCCCCCTCTGCTGGATTCAGAAACCGGGTGCTCGACTTTCAGTGTTTACCACACTCGTCGATATTGTGTCCAGCCGGTATGATAGCCCTGGTTCCGGCTTCATGCTTCCTGGATCATGCGGCCAGGTCATAGTCTTCTGCAGGAGCCTTCTTGATCATCAGGCCCCCGGCACGGCACTGCAAAATTTCCTGGATGTCCGGGCTGGGCTTATGCTTTCAGGCTGCCCCTGTCTGGTACACCGTATCTAGGTCGCCCTGAGGGGCTTCCTGGTCACCAGGGTATCCCCTCTTGCTGGGGCATTGAGCGGGAAGTATAGGTGGCATTTGCGAGAACTTTCTTGTGTAATGCTGTCTCAGGCAGTGCTCCCCTCGCCTTAGAGGGTTGTATTTGAGCTTGCCTCTCCTGTTTGGCTCAGTACTTCCGGGTGTCTGTGCAAAGATGCTTGGGAAGCTCTTAAATCCATGCTATGGTAAGTGCACACACTAAGCTTTGTGCACTTTCTAAAATCCACATAGTGGTAAGTGTGCACGCTGAGCACTTTGCGCACTTTCTGAAATCCTGTATGCTAAGGGTTACGCATTATTAGCCTCGTTCCCTTTCTCTGAGTTGGTTTAGACCCCGGTACCTTGGGCTCTACTCAACCAGTGTGTCTCTGTTGACACATTTTGAAGCATCGCTCCCCTCACCATTGAGGGTTATTGTGAGCATGGTGCTTCCTTTCGAGTGCTCAAGTTCTCTCCCCTTCTGAGGAGTTGGATTCCTTGCTCCGTGGGCTGTTCTCGTGGTGGTATTAGGAGTGCTCCCCTTTATCAAAGGGTTGCCTATGAGCGCGCTATTCCTTTTTCTGAATTCGGAGTTCTCCTCTCACGTGAGAGTTGAGTTCTCTGTTTTCCCAGAGCACATGGAGCCTGCAGCATCAGGCGAACTAGGCCCTTCGTTTTTTGGCTAGCTTGCAGTACGCTTACCCTTTTGATTTATTACGATCATGCTGTAGGTCGAGCCCCCTCTCATTGAGACCTGAGTGTTGTGCTCCCTCAGCTGGGCAACTTAGTGCTAGCCATTCCAGCATTGGAACATGCTGTAGGTCGATCCCCCCTCTCGTTTGAGAACTGGGTGTGTTGCTCCCTCAGCTAAGTAAATTACTGCTTGCTGTTCCAGAATTGGCAAATGCGGTAGGTCGAGCCCCCCTCTCGATTGAGAGCTGGGTGTTTGCTCCCTCAGCTAAATATTTACTGCCAGCCACTCCAGCATTATACCTTAGATCGAGTTGATGACTTCTCAAACATATTGTTTTTGGGATGCACCATTTCCATCTATGGGCTGCTCTTTCAGAGTTCCACGAGGGCCCCTTAGAACGGTATCTTTTAAATCCATGTTATGGTAAGTGTGCACGTGAAGTCTTT